GGGGACTGTGTGAAGAAATGGTTGTCATTCCTACACGGTTCATACTACATTTTTGAAAAAAGCCTTAAATGAAAGCTGAGAGTCTGCACTTTAAGCAGGTATTCATTGTTTCATTTAAAACCCATTGTGGTGGTGTACAGAGCCAAAATGACAACAACTGTATCATTGTCCAAATAATTATGGACCTGACTGTACAACACCCTTTGGGTTATACGAGTACTCTAGGATGCCGTTTGGAGTGTGTAATGGGCCAGCCACTTTTCAGAGGCTGATGCAGGTGACGATGAGTGACTTGGTACTGCAGATCATGCTTGTGTATTTAGACGACATGTTGGTATACTCAGAGTCTTTTGAGGAGCATCTAGTGAGGCTTGAGAGAGTTTTGCAGAGATTGAAGGAGACAAGACTTAAAGTCAAGGTGGAGAAGTGTCACTTTTCGCAGTCAAGGGTGCGGTTTCTTGGTCATCAGATATCCGCTGAGGGCATAGGGACTGATCCTGATAAGATTGCTGCAGTGCAGCAATGGAAAGTTCCAAGCACAGTAAAGGAGTTAAGATCCTTCTTAGGCTTCTGTAGTTATTATAGAAGGTTCATGGAGGGGTTTTCTCAGCTGGCAGGCCCTCTACATGACCTTAACGCATGTTTCCAAAACACCAGCCCGTCGAGATCTAAACAGTTGGTTGAAAGTTTATGGACCACGGAGTGTCAGGAGGCTTTCGAGTTACTGAAAGAGAAACTCACCAGTACCCCTTTGTTAGGTTATGCAGACTTTTCTCTTCCTTTCATTGTTGAGACAGATGCAAGTGGTTCTGGGTTAGGCGCAGTCCTGTATCAGCAGCAGGGAAAAGAGAAAAGAGTGATAGCATATGCCAGCAGGAAACTGCGGAATGCAGAAAAAAATGACAGAAACTACAGCAGTATGAAACTGGAACTGCTTGCCCTTAAGTGGGCAGTTTCTGAGAAATTTAGAGGTTACCTACTAGGCTCTAAGTTCACAGTCACAACAGACAAAAACCCCTTGTGTGACCTTAACACAGCCAGGTTAGGGGCGATTGAGCAGCGCTGGGTAGCTCAGTTAGCAGTCTTTGACTTTGAAGTCAAGTACCGCCCAGGCCATTGTAACACTGCTGCAGACGCCCTCTCTAGGCAGCCGTTAGCAGGGGAGCCCCAACCGCACCCAGATGACGTAGATTTTGAGGGCTGTGTGGCCATTTGCAATGTCAGGAAGGGAACAGCGCTAGGCCCAGAGCTAGGAGCTGCAGGGGCCAAGTGCTGTAGAGTGAGACAAGTTCGTACCTCAGAGGCTGAGCGGGGTACTGACGAGCAGGATAACACTCCGACTTTACCTGGCTACTCTAAGGAAGAGCTCCACCAGTTTCAGGGTACAGATCCCACACTAAGCATGTTTAGACAGTTCTGGAACAGGAAACAAAAGCCCACCTGTCATGAGAGAATAGGGTTGGCCAAGCCTATATTGTCTCTACTCAGACAGTGGCACCGGATCAAGGAGATAGATGGTTTACTTTATTGTGTGATTGATGATGTCCATGTGGGTGAATGTCACCAGTTTCTGTTACCTGCCTGTTTGAAAGAACAGGTCCTTGAGAGTGTGCATGATCGTATGGGGCATCAGGGGATAGAGAGAACACAGAACCTTTTGAAACAGAGATGTTTCTGGGGGGGAATGTACGATGATGTAGAGCAGTGGGTAAAGAAGTGTCAGAGATGTGTCCTTACCAAAAGGCCACAGCCCAAAATACATGCTCCTATGAAGTCTTTCTTAGCTACACGGCCCCTGGAGGTAGTTGCGATAGATTTCACCATCTTAGAGCCTGCTTCAGACGGACGAGAGAATGTTCTAGTGGTGACAGATGTGTTCACAAAGTTCACACAAGCCTTCCCTACTCGTGATCAAAAAGCTGACACTACAGCCAAGGTCCTTCTGCGAGAGTGGTTCATGAAGTATGGTGTGCCTGAGAGATTACATTCAGATCAGGGCAGAAACTTCGAAAGCGACGTAATTGCTGAGTTATGTAGGCTCTATGGTGTAAAGAAAACCTGCACGACACCTCACCATCCTCAGGGGAATGCACAATGTGAAAGGTACAATAGGACTCTGCATGATCTCTTGCGGACACTGCCACCAGAGAAGAAGCGCCGTTGGCCTGAGCACTTAGCTGAGTTAGTCCATGCCTACAACGTGACACCTCATGCAACTACAGGTCACTCTCCGTACTATTTGCTTTTTGGAGTCCATCCACACCTCCCTGTAGATGCTCTGTTAGGGCGGGACCAAGTACAGAATAAGACACATGACTGGCTAGTGGTGCATCAGGAGCATCTTAATGAAGCCCATGCTAGAGCCAAAGAGTACGCTGAAAAGAAAGCAGCAGAAAGGATTGAACTTGACAAACACAAAGTATACTGTCCTCCAGTTGAAGTTGGTCAGTTAGTGTACCTACGTAACCGGCCTCAGGGCAGGAACAAGATCCAAGATGCGTGGGGTCCTACCGTTCATAGGGTGATAGACATCCAAGGAACGACTCACACTGTAGAGCCTGTGGAGGGTGGTCCAGTTAAGAGGGTCCATGGGGCTAATCTTAGACCTTGTGTAGGTCCAGTTCCAGCTCCCAGGAGGGGGAGAGTTAGCGCCCCTACAGTGACACCGGTCCATGCTCCTTCTGAGTCTGATTCCATCTGCACAGATCCTGAGTATGTGGTGCTTGAGGAAGTTTCTTGTCCAAGTCTGGGTCAAGGGGAACATTCAGGGAGAGGTGAGAGCTCTGACGGCCAGGACAGAGCAGACAGAGTCTAGAGATTGCCCTGAATCAGTGAATGTGGAATCATTTGAAGCTTAACCAGAGGTAGAGACATCTCTTCCGTTGGACCAAAGTAGCTGTAGTAGGGATAAAGAGGTTACTGTGCCCGTTCCTGCACCTCGCAGAACAAAGAGAGCGAACGCAGGTGCACACTCACCCACACCATGTCCCTAGGTCAGCATGTAATGCCATTTCACTCAGTCCTGATGTGTTGTCCCAGTTGTTAACCAGTATGGGTGCTGTATTCTTCAGGGAAGCAGTGAAAGAAGTTAGAACCATGAACTAAGTCACCGAGGACGTTGACTTCTTAGCAGGGGAGTATGTAGCCAAGTGGAAATAAGAGTTCACACTAAAGCCACTAGATGGCACTTTGCCCCAGACTGTGAGGTGTTCTATAGGAGATTGCGTGAGAGAGTGAGAATCGCGGACCAGAAACAGGAAGTGATGAGCAGCGTCCGCTTGGAGAGAGAGACTCACCTGTTCACCAGAAGGGATNTGAGAATCGCGGACCAGAAACAGGAAGTGATGAGCAGCGTCCGCTTGGAGAGAGAGACTCACCTGTTCACCAGAAGGGAAATTTGTTGTTTTTCGTGTGTAGAGCTGCAGGAGTTTGACGGCCTGTCGCCACATGATGTGTATCTGAGTTAGTACAGAGATAAAGTGTTGTAAGTATATTAATGGGCTGTATGATTTCATTTCATATTAATGTACTAATGTTTCATATACTGTGGAAATAACTGTATGTGAATTTTGTTTATTTCTTTTATTTTGTTTAGCAGAAGAGCTACCGCTACAGTTGTTCATGCATTTTCATGCATTATCATATATTTTCGTGTATTTACATAAAATTGTTCATGAGTTGTTAATGCACTGGCATTAGTGCACTTTGAGTCAGAAACGTTGTTTACCGAGATAGGTGAAATCCTTTGAGTTTTGAAGAGTAAGATATTACTTGAAGTGAGGCTCTTCATGCCTGAAGATGTCCATTTTTGTTTGTGAATGAAATCTTTGTTAAACCTAAACCAAATTGAACTCTCCAAGATAATTTAATACTACTCTCTTGTTTTTTTTAAAAGAGTATTCGGAGAAATAAAGATCCCGTAAATTAGTTTGTGTCCTGGGTTATTTTAAATTTGACCAGGCTACATACCATTTAAGTTTTTTCTGTTTAAACCTGCAAACCAGAAGCATCAGTACTATATATTCAGGCATGCATTTTGTACCATAAAACAAAATTAACACTTGAATATTTTCTGTAAATGCAGGGACATTTGGAAAATGTTACATGTCAGTGAGTAATCACATAACTGTAAAGCAAAGGTGATCTGACTCTGCAGATATAATAACACTGAACAGACTCTTCTATTGGCTCCAGTTAGACCAAAAATGATGCTTCATATGTTTGATTCTATGCAAACTCAGTGAGCTTCCTTGTTACTCAGCTATAAAAACATCACATCAGGCTGTCAGTGGAGTTCACAGCACGTCAGTTTCAACATAAACCATGTTCTCTGTAGCTCTGCTGCTGCTGTTGGCAGCTGGATGTGAGTCTCTCTGGATTTGTCAAAGTCAACAGTTCTTCTTTTGTTAATTTGATCATTTGTTACAATCTTTGTTTTCCTCCACAGGTTTGAAGTGTGAACAGTTGACACAGCCAGCCTCTGTGACTGTGCAGCCAGGTCAACGTCTGACCATCACCTGTCAGGTCTCTTATTCTGTGAGCATCTATATCACAGCTTGGATCAGACAGCCTGCAGGGAAAGGACTGGAGTGGATCAGTAGTGACACCACTGTCAAGGATTCACTGAAGAACAAGTTCAGTATCAGCTTAGACTCTTCCAGCAAGACAGTGACTCTAAACGGACAGAATGTGCAGCCTGAAGACACTGCTGTGTATTACTGTGCCAGAGAGCCACAGTGACACAAAGCATCAGTAGACCTGAACAAAAACCCCTCAGTGCCTGAACACTTGTAACATGAAGCCACCAGAGGAGGAGCCCTCAGACCACTAATGATTTCAACACCAGCTCACAGTTACAGTACAGAGAGAAACAGTCTTTAATAGTTCTTAAATAAATCTCTTCTTTTTAATCTTCCATAAAATTGTTACTAAAATAAACAAACAAAAAATGCAGTTCTTATCTGAAGCATAACTGCATTTGTGACTGACTACATTATAGTCTTGAGCCAAAGAGTCAAACTACAGAAAAGTTTGTTTTCATTGACAATCAGAAATTTTGTCAGAAATTCCAGTTCCATCTTCTCTTTGTGTGAGATGCACCTTCGTGACTAAACAACTGGTATAGTTTACAAGCCAGCTTATTCCTTGTCAGTCAAGAATCGCTTCACCATTTCCAGAGACAACAACGTGGACCAGGTGTATCTGCAGATTCTGCTGTTTATTATTGTGCTCGAGAGCCACAGTGACACAGGAAGCCACAGAGCTGTACACAAACCACTGAAAATGCCACTGCAACAGTCACTAATAGAAAGTGCTGTAAAACCACCCCATGCAAGATGTTTTTAAACAGACCCCTAATTCA